CGCCTCCCGCGGGCTCCCTCTCGCCGTCCTCCATCTCAACCTGCCGCCCCCGGCCGGGCACCCCCTCGGATGGGGCCGACCGGGGCGGACCCGGGGCGGGCCCTGGTCGCCGGCCGCCCTATGAATATGTATGCGATAAGTGCGCGGGCCGAGCGGGGGAGGGGGGCGAGGCGCGGGGGGCTAACTAGCTGCTGGGCTTTCAGCCCTGCGAGCCCACGCGTGCCTATCTCATAAGCCGGCTAGTTGGTGGTGCGGTTGGGTCTCCCGCGGCGTGTGCCGTGGGGCCGCTGCCGTGCCCCCCGCCCGCTCGGTGCCTGACCGAGCCCGTTCCGAAAGCTGCGTGGGAAGAGTTGAGTTATTCGCAGGGCGAGTGAGGGCTTTTCTAGAACGTTTATCTTAACTGATTTAGGACTTCAGCCTCCTTAATGCCAGGTACAATTCTTCATCCATTAAAGTTATCAGCAACCAGAACTGACCTCAGGAACCGGGTTCACTGATATTTCAGTAGACAAGTGTATCTCGATGATGCCCCCCCCCCAAGCGTTACGAACAACAGTGGTGGTCCATTCTCAACAGCTCTATTGTTAAATAAGCGCTCAAGTTTTCCAGCAGCCTCTTTTGCATTAATTAGTTATTTTATATTCTGAAAACTAGTTCAGCCAAAGGTTGTGTTCGCTATGTCTGTGTGGTTTTGTTTAATTTATTGAGGAGAATGCGGTGAACGTATATGCCAAATATGCAGACACTATGTTTTTCTAATCACAAAAATATTTTGTTCCTAAGTGTGAATCGTTAGGTCTTACTTGCTTACAACTGAGGAATGCTCAAGTTCAAAAAGAGCAGAAACAACTGCAAACAAAATGTTACTTCTTCCCAATTAGCACTTACAAATATATATCTAAGTAACTGGCCATCATTAACTCGAATGCTTTTCTTCTGGTCCGTAATTCTTTAGGAACATTCATGTGCATCCTTTCATATAATGAGAAACGTGTATTTACTCTGTTTGCTGCGGGATTTTTTTAGTACTTCTTGTTTCATAGTGGGAATAATTAAAAATTATAATTCATGATGCTAAGTGTTTTAAGGTCATGCATGAGAGAAAGACAACAGTAAAAGACTGTGCGATATGATCAGCGTTGACAATTCTCCGCCATCGTTTTGTTTTGTTTGGAGAAAGAAACATTTGTTTGGAAAGTTTGGCCCGTTGAAATGTTTTATAGAAGTTCTTGCTGCTGCTGCTTCTTCCCAAGGCACTTAGATGCTACTGTGATGAGAGACAAGTAGATGCATGAAGAGTTACTTGTGTGTAGTTCCCGTTAGTCTTAAAAGCAATCACTTTGAGGTTTTCTCTTCAGCAAATAGCCCACTCACTTTTTTTTTTAGCGTATAGTAGTTCTTCAGAAATGAAAATGTATGTCACTGCTGCACACTGGGTTTGTACCACGTACCAATGATTTCTAACAAAAATTAGAAGTTCTATATGTTAATGAAACTGATCCTCCAACAGTATTTCCCAGTTAATTTTCCTGCTAAACCTTCCCTAAAGGCTCTATTAATCTTAGCCAGTGAATTACTGATACCTGATCAAAGGTGATGGGCGTAATGGGTGCTCAGCCTCTTTTAAGAGCATAAGCCAAATGTGTGTTCTCCCTAGGTCAGGTCTTACCGTCTGGGGTGGATTTTGGACTCCCATGAGTAATTTTACCAATATCTGCCATTAGGATGGTTTCCACAGTGAGGCCCTAAAGAAGGACAAAGCTGGGCTTCACACTCAGGGGTGTGAGTTGTTCACACTCAAATTTGTGTGGTCGCTCTATGCGTGAGATAACAGGATAAAACGAGATAATCCTTGCTGAAGATTGTGTTCAGTGTGTGCAAACTTTGTATCTTAGATATAATTAACACCTGCTTTTACTGCATCTCAGGGCCTACAGCTGAAGCTGTAAAAGTGCTCTTTTTTTTAACTCTTCAGGCTGGTAACAGTTAGGTCCCAGATATAAGTGAATTTCTGCAACTCAGCCAGATAGGGGAATGCCCAAAGTCAGTTAGGGTTTTACCTAGTGACATACTTCAAAAACTCTTGTGAGCTCCATGCAGATTTTACAGGTGTGCTAGAATAATTTGTCCTACCACAATTTGTGAGCAAATAAAATGCTTTGAAACCAACCACAACTAAGATGCCCCAAATATGCTGATGCAAGGTGGATTCACCTGTATTTTAAAAGTTGTTTGCATTCTGTTTTTCTTCAGGGAGTAGTGTTCGCTGCTTAGTTTTAATTCCATAGACCACATGAAAAAACCCTTTGTGATCTTGTGACAGAAAGCACAGTACACAAGGCCTCAGATCTATAGTTAGATGTAGTTACAATTCTATATAGATAACTCTTTATAGATAAAGTCCTAACTCTGTTGAATCAATCTTCTTTTAGTAGGTCCCTTTTTCCCTGTTTTTCCCTTTTGTGGAAGAGCTGGAGAAATTTACCAGAAACAGAAAGCGACAGCCCCTGAGGTGTTATTCATAGGTATTCTGTGGGATTATTTATGGGTATTCTGTGTGTATTTTAACATTTTCATAAGGAAGGCATCAATTTAGTGAGTGTGGGCTGGACCGGCCGCCTCGCTCCGCTCCGCGGCCCCGGCAGGAATCACCCTGTTCCCAGAAGTTCCCAGAAGCAGTGTAGTGCAGGATGCTATAGAGGCTGAAAAGTACATTTTCTTACAGTGTTTCCAGCTTTGTGAAAAATCTACAGGTAACAGCAGTCTGACAGATGCATAGTAGGGTTAGGAAATGTTTCTGGAAATGACGTTCCCAATGGCATCTAAAACAGCAGCTGTTTTATGCAACAGCCCCAAAGTTCAGTCTTGGCAGTGAAGCCAGCACCTTGAGAGCCCTGGAGTAAGGGCTCCAGGGAAGAGAAAAGCCTGGAGAAGTGTTGTGACGGTGTTGAGGAGACGAGTGTTGGTAAGGAAGCTATTGACATTGTGCAGAAGAACTTGATGAGCTGCGTGGTTTCCTGTGTGTTTGTCTGCAGACCTTTAACCTATGTACGAATTTTGGGTCATGCTACTTCTCCTTGTAACAAGTATCCTGGCATGCCGTAACAGCGGGATGTGATGTAACACAGTTTCTGTGCTTCTGATGTCTCAGATATTTCCTCGTGCTTCGCTGCAGGATATTGCCCGCAGTGTTTACCATTGTGAAGTTCAAGTGTAAGGTGTTCATCTTCAGGGTCTAAGTTGCCAGAAGATGTGAAACTGGGAATGCCATACTCATTGCAATGTCAGGCTTTAAAGAATCTAAGAAAATAGATCATGATTTCTATAAATCAGGTATTACTCCAAAAAATAAAATGCTTAGTTAGATTTAAATGGACACTGTCAAGCTTTTCAGATCGTAGCGTGCATCTACATTTATCTGTGGATTCCCAAAGATTTTTTTTTTTCCCATTGTTGCCACAGCTTATAATGTATTAAGGATATCTGTTGAGAAACATACAGAGTGGGATGCGTAGGAAAAGCATTTCCCATTCTGTAATACTTGGTCATATTCTGCACTTAGTTGACATTAAAGGTTTTTTTGAAGGCTTTTGTTTTGTTTCCTTAAAACAAACAAACAAAAAAGACACACACATACATGCTGGTGTGATCTTCCAATTCAACACTGTGAACTATAGAAGATTAGGCAACAAGTCTTAGTTTTGTTACATATCCACATCACTGAGAACTGTTTCAGCCTCTGGGCAGCTGGCTGTCCTCAGATAAATCTCTTCTAGCATTTCTTCTGTGAGGTATTTCACTTCCTAAAAAAAAATGCTAAAGGTTTGGGGAATAGGCTCTAAGCTGAATTCCGTCTTGCACTGGAGAAACTTTTCCCAAGGGAGACTTCTCCCAAGGAACACTTCATTGAAACTTTTATATTCTCACTGTAGTTAGTTTGGATTTTTTTTTTTTTTTTTACACAAAACACTTAATTGGGATTTTTTTTTTCTTTCAAATTATGCACGAGTTGTTTGCCTTGGAACAGAAGCTTTTTATTTTTTTCCCAGTAAAGCTATATACAAATGTAAAAGAAAAAATAAATAAAGACAAACAATTAGATTTACAGCTTCATCACTTGGGAGTTGGTTAGCATGCTGTTGTTTGTCTAAGAACAAATTCTGTATGTATGTGTGCCTGCTTGAGAATAAGAGAAAAGTAAGAAATCCTCTCCTCATTGTGTCCATTTCTCACTCCTGTGAGAATCTAAGGAACACATTTGGTTTCTTTGCACCTTTATAAATAATAATAAGAAAAGTTTGGTTTGTCCGTAACAGAGATATTAGTATTTCTCACCTCACTCAGGTGTGAAACCTGGTTATGTATTTTATTTGTAAAGTATCTGAACATGAAAAGTTGATGGTAAACATTAAGTATAATTATTATACGGTGTCGTCTGTAACTGCAGTCTAACTTTTGTTTGTTGATGTTATAG